GAAAATATGGGAAAATATGGGGAATCCTTTTATTTGTGCGTATTTATTTGTGTGTGTCCCAGGGCCCCTTCCCTATGCTGGGCACCTCCTCATCCCTATCCCTATGCTGGGCACCTCCTCATCACGATGCCAATCTTAGGGATTCCCTTATTCGTTGAGGGCGAATCCCTGAGATAGTCATCGCCTATTAGCGTGTCAATCTTAGGGATAGGGATACGTTCGAGGCCGGTAAGTACCACTACGTGCGCGCCGCCCGCCCCCCTCCCCAGGGGGGCGGCGCGCGCCCCGAGGGGGCGCCTTGGGGGGCACGGGCGCGTCGCCGCGGGCGGGCGCCGCCGCGCCGCGCCGCCTCGGGGAAGCGGCATGCCGCCAGGGGGTGGGCGTGCTGCGCGCGTGCGGGTCGGGCGCGCGTCTCCGAGGAGGACAAGCCTGGTGCTCTCGCACGTCTCTCTTCTCGGGGGTGGACAGACCTCCTACCCTGCCACGTCGATGAGTGAATTGTCCGTTTTCGGTTCTCGAGAGGGCGCCGCGGCCGTCATTTTCCAGGCGTGCGCCCGCCAGGTTTCCAGGCGTGCGCCCGCCAGGGCGGGTGTGCTCTGCGCGCGTTCGGGTCGGGCGCGCGCGTCTCCGAGGAGGACAAACCTGGTTCAGGAGGGTCCGCTAGCGAAGGCGCTAGCGGAGTCAGGAGCGCTACGGGTCACGACAGCGGCCTAATCAGCAGCTAAACGAGCCGCAGGAGGGGAAAAAGCACACAGACACAATGGATCGTCGACTCCCCAGGAAAATATGGGAAAATATGGGGAGTGGGGGGGGGAGACAGAAACCCAGAATATATGGGAACATATGGGGGATCCTGTTATTTTGCGTGTATTTATTTGTGTGTCCCAGTTTCCCTTCACTGGTGCTCTCGCACGTCGCTCTTCGCGTCCCAGGCCATGGGCCCGTCGGTCGCGCTGAGAGTGGCTATTTTGGGGGGCGCCCAGCTCCCGAGCTGTGTGGGGGAGGCGCCTCCCCACCTCTGGAGAGGCGAGGGGTGGTCCCTCTGCCCTCCTCCTCCTCAGGGGGGGGGGGGGGGCGGAAGCCCAGCGTGTTTTCCACGCCTTCCTGCTTCATGGTTCGACCCATCTGTTCCAACCGACGGGTACGGATCTGAAACAGCAAGTCGACGCGCGGTGCCACAATGCATGGGGGGGGATTTCTTACCTCGCAAGGAAGGGCAGCAACAACAACAACAACAACAACAACAGGACCCGATACGCACCAACTTCGGCACAGCGCATTGACCGATGTTGGTGACAAGAGGATCGCTCAAAAAGTTGTGTTTCGTCTTCATGTCACGGGAAGTTGTGCGCGTCCTGGACCCCTCATGTGTCGCAGGTGGTTGCACGTTCAGTCCTGTTTATATTACTCCCCAAGTGGGGTGTCACGCGATATCCTGTGGTGTTCATCGGGGTATCCAGCGTGGTGTCCCGGAACGCGTTGCCGTGTTGTTTGCCGGGGCGCTTGCCGCGATATTTAGTTGCGCCCCCAGTCGTGGTGCCCGCAGATCAGGGTGACCTCCGCGTTGCCCCGTAATATCTTCTTGTGGCCAATGTGTGGATTCGCTGAGGTCAAACCGTTTAAGTGGGATGCTGAGACCAGGCAGCGTGACGCAAAGCCAGACAAAGCACGCTGTTGCAAGAGAAGGTTAACCTGGGTTACAGCCAGCGAAGACACAATCACGTCAGCCAGGCAAGGCTGAGCTGCGGGCAAGCAAAGCGGCTGCATCAACCTGGCGAATGAGGAGTATTGTATACCATGGCAGGGCAAGACTTCATATAGCCGCTGTAGGAACAGAGGAGGCGATACAGAACTCAAAGCCAGGGAGTGCTATCCGAAATGAAGCACAGCAGTTTATGGTGCATTGAGTATAGTGATGCAGGAAACTGTACATTCAACGAGCGGGCTTTCAAGGCGCTCCTTCAAGCGCATCTATCGTAGACGCATGGACGCATGCGGCGAGTCACCGGCGCTCCTTGCCTGTCTGGAAACGCCGATGTAGCCTGCCGTTAGGCCAAAGCGTGGCCGATGTATTGGACTATGTGGTCCCCCAGCCGGTGTGGAAGTCTTTGAGGAAATATTCAGGGGGGGGAGGGGAAGCAACAGAAGAGGGAGGAAGAGGAGAAGGAGGAGGAGGAGGAGGAGGTGGAGGTGGCCCCCCTTAGCGACCTTCTGGGGATCCCTCTGGGGCCCTCTTGGAGCCAACAAGTCTGTCTTGGAGAGCATTGCGGACCGTCTCGGAGGCCGTACAGGGCCATCTTGGCCGTTTTTGAGGCTTTGGTGGCCGTCTTGGAGGTCTTATGGGCCGTGAGCTGTCGGAAGCCCTCGAGGGCGAGAACGTCGAAGGCAGATCTATGAGTGTCGTCACTTGGCGCCCTGTTGGTGGTTCATCTTCGAGGCCTCTCAGGGCTTACTGGAGGCCTCTTTTCGCGGTCTCAGGCTGTCTTGGAGGCCATCTCCGGCCGTCCTGGAGGCCACCTGGGACCATTTTGGAGGCGAATTTCTTGGATGGTGCAGTCGTGTGAGGCGCTCCAAAAAGCGCCTCGCCCTCGAGGATCGCAGGAGTCGCCATCTCTTCCGCGGCGGAAGGCGGCGGAAGGTCGGCGGAAGGCCGGCGGAAGCAAAACGAGGCCGCCTCCGCCAGCGGAAGGCCGGCGGAAGACGGCGGAAGTCAAAGATGTTCCCTCAAGAGATGAAGACGTTTTCGCTCAACGGCTCTCCTCCTCCCCCTCCTCCCCTCCTCCCCCTCCTCCTCCTCCACCTCCCCCTCCTCCTCCTCCTTCCTCCTCTTCTCCCCCTCATCCTCATCTTCCTCCTCCTCCGCCTCCTCCTCCTCCGCTCCTCCTCCTATCCACATGCTTCCTCCTCCATCCCTCATCCTCCTCCTCCTCCTCCTCCTCCTCCTCCTCCTCCTCCTCCTCCTCCTTTTCATCCTCCTCCTCCTCCTTCTTCCTCCTCTCCTCCGCCTCCTTCCTCCTCCTCTCCCTCCTCTCCTTCTCCTCCCACCTCTCCTCCTCCTCTTCCTCCCCCTCCACCTCCCCCTCCCCCTCCTCCTCCTCGGGCTGTGGAGACCTCTTGCGGCCCTCGCTGCGGCCTCTGGGGGACCCCGTGGAAGCCTCTCTCGGGGTGGGGGCCTCCCGGCACCTCTGGGAGGCTTCTGGGGCCCTCTTGGAGTCCTGCAGGCGGTCTCTCGGATTCGAAAAAACTGCATAATCATGCAAATTGTTCACGTCTAATTATTCGAAAGTTCTTTGATTTTCTGGGGGGCCAAGATCCATTCATTTCTAATTGTTCTATCCTGGGCATCTTCCTGGCCACAAGGGGGCCAGGAACAAGTAGAAACGAGCACAATTAGAAATGAGCACGATTAGAAACGAACGACGTGTAAACTGCTGGCGCTCTGCGCGGATGTCTTGATTCTGCGCATGGGCCCCCCTGGCGGCGCCTCCGGCGCCGCTCCCGGCGCGCTCCGCGCGCCAGGGGGGGGGGGATCCAGCGCAGACACAAGAAATCAGCGCGGAGCGCCAAAAGTTTATGTTTACCCAGTTGTTTCTTCTTCTAGTCTCGAGGGTCATCTGCAGATGAAGGGCGCCGAAATCCTTTCTGAGATCAGTGTAGTGTGAGTCTTCGCCCCGTTAGCTATTCCCAATATACATGGCGGGTTGAGGCATCGAAGGGAACTGGGGAAATTCCACTCACTGCCTCGCGGCACGGTGGCGAAGGTGTCTCCCTTGGTAGTTTACCCGCCGTCGTTCGGAGGAGCCTTCAGGAGTTATCCCTTGCGAAAGAGTGTTGTCCGTTCTTGCTCGCAGCGCGGGCAAGGCTCTGCAACTTCTTGAGGCAAAAGGCGACAGGTTCGTGGCAGAGCGCTTTGGTCCGTAGTTGTTTTGGCGGCTCAAAGCTCAGGCGTAGGGTTGAGGGATCGGTCTGGCCGCAGGATCGAGATTCGACCTAGGTCTAGGCAGAGGCCTTGGGCATATGGCCTTGGAGTAGGCCAAGGGATGTGGCTTTCAGGCTTTGGCCCAGGCTTATTCTCATTTACGGATACCAGTTCAGGGTTCTGATTCAGTCATGTTGAGTTTCACATTTATTTTTGGTTCGAAGTCTTGGACAAGTCTTGCGTTGAATGGAGTCGTTTCGCGCGGCTCGAGAAGCTCGTGGCACGATTCGTTTGGGTTTGCTCATGTGAGACACTATTATATCGTATATGGTGTCGTCCTAGCGTACAGCCATGGCGGTGGAATCCGGTCGATTTCTTTGGAAGGGTTCGATGGTTCCTTGGGTCTGCTTGCGTTCCCTCGTAAATTTGCCAGGGAGACCCCTCGGCGTTCCTTGGGACGGGAGGGCTTACTCTCAAAAGAGGCGACGACGAGGGAACGCCTCCGAACAGGAGCTCGGTCGTTCCTTAGAAATGTATGGCATGGTTTTGGAAAGAGGGGCTTCGTTCCTTATTTATCTTTCCTTCTGGCAGTGTTATGACTGTATGCTAGCACAGCTGAAGCCGCACTAACCCGCGCTCGGCGGAGCGACGCCGTTACAAGTTGAGCCAAGCTCAACCAATCGATCTAGACGTCTGCACGGAGGAACAGCAGCATCGCCGATACCCGTCAGTATCCCGGGAAGCCGAAGCCGCCACCCAGGCAGCCCCAGCACTGCTCGCCGGTGGGCTGCGTCGGGAGAGCCCACCGTACCCAGACCCCCGACGTAACGATTTTTTCATTACGTCGACCCCCAGAGGCCCCGACCCTTTCCCCAGGACCGGTTTGTCCTCCAGAGTCGATTTGTGGACGCTCCCGAGGCCCAGTGAGGGCACCCGGAGGCCGAAAATGGCGAACAACCTCCCGCCAGGATGTTTTCATGACCCGAGGGGGTCTGGGTGCGGGGCTCAGGTCGTGAGCCATGCCCAGCGGATCCCTGCCTCCAGCTGAGCACCGGCAGCCGCCCCGCCAGAGCGACGCGCCATGCACATCCGCGGCCTCGACCACGTCGCCCTCGGCGTGCGCTCGCTCCCACGGGCCGCCGCCTGGTACCGGGCGCTGCTCGGCCTCGAGGACTTCCGCCCAGGCCGGCCAGACGCAAGAGCGACCTGTCTCGGCATCGCTTATAACCAAGCCCCATCCCCATCCCCATCCCCTTCGAGACCCCCACGAAAGTAGCATCCCAGTTGGGGATACACCCCTCGAAACTCGAAGGGAGCGACCTAACTATATCCCCATCCAGGGGCGTAAGTCGGCCAGTGGGGCCCAGGCCACGCCGCTGGAGATGGGGATCGGTGAAACGATACTCACTTTCGCCAGAGTGACCTCTGGTGCGGGCCCAACGGGGCCCCCCGATGGCCAAGCGCGGAGCGGTAGCAGCGGCTTGCGCGCCCCGGGTCGGCCACCCCGCGTTCCCCGTCAAGCCGCGCGCCAAAGGTCTCTCCTGCCCTCAGCCAACCCACCTGTTGAGGATGGGCAACCTGCCCAAGGGTACCCTTGCATACTCCCCCCTTTCGGTCCATCCTTGGCCACTTTCGCTGGCCGCGCCCGCCGCGCAAGGCGTCGGCCTGGCCTTCCAGGGCCCCTGCATCCTGATCGCGCGTCCTTATTCTGTCACTCTTGCGAGTACCGTCGAGGCCCTGAAGAAGGAACCCTTCTCGTTTGGGGAGGGGCTCGGTGCTCCTTGATTGCTTCACAGTTTGCCTAGGGTTTTCCTGAGGTTTTCAATGGGAAATAGAAGTAGAACTTATGGAAAAAAGGTGCCCCGTTCCTTATTTAGGGTTCCTTAGGTCAGCGCCGCGACCGTATTCTGTCGCTCTTGCGAGTGGCCGACCAGGCGACCCCGCCTTCCAGAACGAGGCCATCCGCATGGTGCAGTCCCCCTGCGGCGGCGCCAAGCTCGCGCTGCTCCACCTCGACGACGCCGCCTGGGCGCTGCGCGAGCGCCAGCTGCGCGCGGCCATCGGCGAGGCGCTGCGAACGCGCGCGGCGCCCGCGGGCGCGGGGCCCAAGGAAGGGGCCCTGGGACACACAAACAAATGCGCACAAATAAACCTATACCCCATAGTTTCCCGTATTTTCTGGGTTTTTGTCTCCCCCCCCCGCTTCCCATATCTTCCCTTATTTTCGGGGGAGTCGAAGATGACTTCTGTCTTTGTGTTTTCTTCCCTCCTGACCCGAGGAGGCGCGGACCGGGGGCGGCGGCCGTGCGTCGGCCGCCGCGGCGCAGGGCTCCGCCCTCCGGCCCCCGCTGGCCCCCCTGGCCTTCGGGAGAGGAAGAGGCACACCGACATGCAGCTGTGCTCCCCTCGGTTTCGCCCGTGTGGGGCCTCCTCCCAGAGCCAATTTCGAGCAATGAAAAGATCATGACGGGAGGCTTGTCCCAATTTCCGGCCTCCGGGGGCCCTCACCGGGCCTCGGGAGCGTCAGAGAACGGCTCGGGATGCAAAGCCGGTCCTGGGGAAAGGGTCGGGGCCTCTGGTCGGGACGACCGACATGGGTACGGAAAGAATGGGTACAATGCCCAACGGCAGTTCCTGTTCATTTTGAAGAGGGCTCGCTGTCCGCGCCGCCGCGGCCTGTGTCCATTTGAGACAGAAGGCCGCCTGCCCAACAGCGGCCGCTGTTGGTTTGGGACAACATTTGTTGTTGGGCATTGTGCCCATTTCTTCCGTACCCATTTCGGGCGTCCAAATTTGGGGGTCGACTCAATGAAAAAACCATTACGTCGGGGGTCTGGGCTGGAAGGCCTGCGTCTCCACCGCCGAAGCCGCCCCGAAGGCCTGGTCGGGACGCGCCCTTGGCTATATCGGTACCTCTTGGTGTCCCCAGGTCCAGTCCACGGGCTGGCTCGGGGTGCGCGCGGTGCGCGGACACTTCCGGAGGAAGAGGGGGTGGCACAGAGATGAGTGTTCTGATCAGGCATGTGCCCAGGCGAGTTGCCCTGATCAGGCATGTGGAGGAGCACGCAGTGGAAGGAGGGCTGGGAAGCCGAAGGAGAAGGAGGGGGTTGGAAGAGGAAACTCTCTGAACCACTCACGCCCGAAAGGGCTGGTGGAATTGTCGGAGCTTCGCGCGGAGTTCTCGGATCTGCGCCAGGCTCCCCTGGCGGCGCCTCCAGCGCCGCCCCTGGCGCGCTCCGCGTGCCAGGAAGGAGGGGGGGCCCAGCGGAGGTCCGCGCGGGGGGGTCTGACAGTTTATCTTTGTGGCGCTTCTCGTTCCTCTGATGTCTCACTGGTCGTCGACTCCAGGGCGGAGTTCGAGGAGTTCGTCGCCACCCTGCCCGCGCGCCTGGAGGCGGGCATCGCGACGCACGCGGGCGCCTGCCACGGCGCGAGCGCCACACAACCAGAGGAGGCAGCGGGCTTGGGCGGGGGCGCTGGCAGACCAGGTCTTGGGCCCGCGGGCGACCTGCATGGAGCCCCGGGCGGCGCGGATGGGTCTCGTGAGCCTCTCCCCAGACCCCCTCGGGCAATGATAAAAT